TATACTCCTCACACAACCAGAAGTAACAGAAAATGGAGAAATGAAAGCGAATGGAAGCAAGATCAAGGTCTGCAGAGGGCTAAGTTGCGTCATTCACTAGTACTCCAGTGGCCTCTCCGGGTACAGCAGTAGGTGGGATCAGCAGGGACGGTCAATCTACAGAGAACAGGGCAACCCAGGGAAGAGGGTAATAGTGTGTAGTGCAAACGGGCACAGCCATAGGGGCCAAGTAAACACATGAGGAGAGGCGGGACACAGTGAAAGCCCAGCGCACTTAGCTGGAAAGACCTGTACCAGGAACTGTGTGTAGATTCCAAGAACAAGACAAGTGGAGTTAGAGAGGATTATAGCTGAGAGGACCTGATACACCATGCAGGATTTCAGGCACACAGCAGCCAAGGTTCAAACTCCTGACACACCCCATCAGCTTTGGGGGTGCCCCCCTGGTGGCTTGGTCTATCCTTCCAAGAAGAGACTTGGGGTAGAGATCCACACAAGCCCTGGAGATGGGCCAAGGCCCTTGGGGCAGGGAATTCCAGAATCCCAGGTACCAGGGTAGGGTCTGAAGGGGTAGAGTGAGAGCTCCACATGTAAACATCGCCTTGGACCTGCTGACTACTCTTTCCGTGGAGAGACGTGTGGCTAGAGGTGAGCCACAGTGGGGTCCTCGAAAACACAAGTCCAAAGCAAGGCCCTCCTATTCAGGTTGAAGTTAGCCTCGGGCTGGGGAAAGGCAGTGGTCCTTGAAAGAGAAAGGGGCACAGCAGAAGAAAAATCAAGGTATGCACCAATTTAAAACTTAAAGTGGCTGAGGTCTAGTCCCTGTTCTACCTCTAGATGTTTGGATGACCTGAACCCCACTGCACCTCAGTTTCCTCTTCTATAAAATGAAGTGAGTAGAAGTCAAATCAGGCGGTCTCTGCTAACACGTCTAAGCTCCCACACACAGCTCCACACATCAGGGCGGGAGGAGAGGACCTGTGGCTCACAGCCCTACAGAGGCAACAGAGCAAAATACGAAACGAGAGGAGCCACATGAAACACCAACACCTAAAACTGCTGGGCTGAGCGGTGTGTGTCACCTGCGCAGGATTTCTCTGTAATGGGACGAGGTTAGGGCTGTCCAGAGAGCCTGCAGCTTAGGGGGGTGAGTAATGAGCATGGGAAAGCACGATCGTCCAGCAGTAGCACGTGCGCATGCGCACGCACGCGCGCACGCACACACACAGACACACACACACACACACACACACACACGGGCCTCACCTGGACTTTGTAAGTGAAAATGTATTTCCTGATTGAGCCCAGGAAGACAGGCCCCCTGGGAAACTGTCTCTCTCTCATCCCATACATTTCCTGATGGCATGCAATTAGGGGATCACCTTAGCAGAGCGAGTGTGAAGGTGCTTTCACACTGCTTGGCTCTGCTCCGAGAGGCTCCCGGGTAAGGTTGCGGAAGTGTTAAGAGCATTTCTTCATTTTCTTTCCTGTCCTCATCCCCCTCTAGCTTCCTGAGTGCAAAAAAAAAGGGGGTCTTTACACCCAGAAACCAACAATACGCTATGCTAGGTGGTGGCTGCTCAGTCAGGACTGACTCAGAATTAGAGTGCTCATTTTCATCTAGAGAGACAGAAAAGTCCCTCGTGGGATGTAACACAGAAGTGGTAAAATGTAAAAATAGTCTTCCTTCAATTTGGTCAGCGAGGAAATATCCCCCCACTTTTCCCACCATGTCATGGTGCCCAAGGTCTCCCACCCCACTCTAGTGACACAGGATCTTGTTCATGACCAGCTATTTTATGTCTGTCCAGCTACCGCCGAAGGACAATAAGCCAAGAAGCATGGCCAGGAACACAAACACAGGTGTGTGTTCATTAGGCCCAGCCCTGTACTTAGTTCAAACACCGCATCACTGACGCAGTGTTATGCGAGCAGAGGGACCCAAAGTCTCCCCTGCCACATGCCCAAGCCACCAACTCCTCAGGACAGGTGTAGGGTGGGAGACTGCCAGGGTTACACAGCAGTCATGGCAGTTGGTGCCATGTCCTCCGAGCAAGGGGAGGCTCTCGAGGAGGGGAAGACGCCAGAGGGAATGCAGACCCACCTTCCCTGTCCCAACAACAACAGCACTGTTTGCATTTCTTGACCTCTCCGCCTAAAACACATTAAAAATTACTTAGAAACTGTAACACCCCAGGAGTCCCCTGATAAGATTATCTGTGGGAAGACTACAGATCAGTCGCCTGTCAGCCATTACTACCACAGAAGGGTTGTCTGCCCGGAGAGGTGAGTTGTGAAGGAGGAGAACACACACAGGCCAGGCAAGGAACAGAGCAGGATGCCAATAGCATGAGGTAGGTTGTTTCTTCAGTGGAGGTTCCAACAGGCTAAATGCTGGAAAAAATTTCCACACAGTCCGTGAAGAAGTAAAGAAGAAAATCATCATTGACTCCCAGGGAAGAACATGAGTTACGCTGACCCCAAGCTTGATACCGTATGTTCCCATAACACATATTCTCTAATAACCAATATCATTGAAATCACTATGGCCATTATTTAAAAAGATAAGAATAGGGGCGCCTGGGTGGCTCAGTTGTTAAGCATCTGCCTTCGGCTCAGGTCACGATCTCGGGGTCCTGGGATCGAGCCCCACATCGGGCTCCCTGCTCCGCAGGAAACCTGCTTCTCCCTCTCCCACACCCCCTGCTTGTGTTCCCACTCTCGCTGTGTCTCTCTCTGTCAAATAAATAAATAAATAAATCTTAAAAAAAAAAAAAGATAAAAATAATTGGCAAAACACGTTGTTACACAGGATCAGATGTACCTTATGTCAGTGTTCCTCACATGATAGCTCTTTATCAGATTCTGATAGAAATAAGGATTCTGTAGAAATACACTGATATGAAAATATGTCCAGTGCATTCTTTTAAACGGAAAAAGTTCTTAACAAAAGAGGATGTGTATATATATATAAATACATATGTATAAAATATTACAAAATATGAACATCTCTGAGTGAAAATATTGCAATTTTTTTAACTGCAGTTTCTGATTTTTTCTGCAATGAGGAATATATTACATGTGTGGGTTTTTTTTTTTTAAGTTTAAAAAATATGGGGGCACCTGGGTGGCTCAGTTGGTTAAGCGTCTGCCTTTGGCTCAAGGGGTGATCTCAGGGTCCTGGGATCAAGCCCCTGCTCAGGGGGAGTCTGCTTCTCCCGCTCCTTCTTTTTTAAAAAATATGATACAGCACGGTCAGCCTGGAGAGGGGAGGAGAGGCCTTTCCCAGGAGAGGCGGGGAAGCAGAGCACTTCTAATCACAAACAGCCAGTTCCCCCAAGCACAGTCCGTACTGCACCTCTGCTGCCCCCGTGTGATTGAGAGAAGACCTGGCACCCAGCACCCCGAGACAAGGAGGAACTGGGACCAAACTCCAAGGTTATCTTGAATAAATTCCTCTTTCCCTTTTCACCAATTCATGGTATAGATTTGTCCCACTCCTGATCATGGGGCACGGGGCTTCTGCAATGCCAAGTGCTAGGATGGGCATTCAGGATGCTAACAAGATGGACACAGACTCTGGTCGGGGTTCAGGACCCAGAGATCCACTAGGGCAGGAGTGAAGTTGGAAGTAAGAAGGGGCAAAGCCTCGGGAGACTATTAACTACAGGGAACCAGGAAACTAGAATCCTAAAGCGGTATTGGAAACTGCCTCCTTTACCGCAGGGGATTAAGGTGAGAGCACCTCAGGCTGGTGGTGTTTACTTCTTCTGCCATCTGTCAGCGGAGCACCTGACCTGCTATTTGAGCACAGACATTCCCAGAAATGCAGAGGGAAGCCCAGTGGGGTTACTATGTCCAATGTTCCCACTGATGGTAGTTTTAACTTATGAGAAGAAAAGCCTGCTGCCTGAGCATCAAACCATGAAGATGGAAGCCAAATTTAATGTTACTATCAAATGACAGCCAAATATATTTAACCTGATCCCTTAACAACTGCAAAATCATTATTAGGCATTAATGCTAAGACTTAAAATGATTAAATAATATTTTTCTTACCTAAAAGTCTATTTTTCTGGGCTTGCATTGTTGGATCTATAACAACTAAGGGCAAGAGGATCCCCTCACTAATGAACATTTTAATTTTTAAAGCATAAGTAGGCGCTGTGCGCGCGCGCACACACACACACACACACACACACACGAATTCTGGATGAAACTCCCCAACTCTTAATCCTATACCTTACCCCCCTTTTTCTTAACCATATACCTCAACCCCATATCTGCATATTACCCAGGATAATACTCAATATGTTTCTCCTATATTGAGGCTCCAGAGTCAGATTGCCTGCATTCAAATGCAGCTCTAGCGCTTACTGTGTGACCTTGGGCAAATCACCTAACCATTCTGAGCCTCAGTGATCTCTATATAATGGGGATATTAATAGGCTCACCTCATAGGGCTGTTGGAAGGTTAAAGGAGTTAATATCTGTGATGTACTAAAAACAATACCTGGCAAGAAAGTGCTAGAAGAGCCCGTTAACTCACTCTGTCCTATAGTTACTTTTTTAAAATGGGTTTGAAATGTCATTAATTTTTATAAGCAGTAATTTAAAAAGCAAACCTGGTCTCTTTTCTTTTCGTGAATAAACACCATTTGTTACTAAAATTGGGTGACGATGAAGAGGCCAGTCCTTCCCTGTCCACCTCTAAAGTTGAATGTCATTTTCAGAAGAATCAAACTTACTATCCTTACTCTCCTCCAAGCTTGATGCCATGTATTTTAGGAAAAGTAAAGAACATGTGTGTGTGTGTGTGTGTGTGTGTGCAAGCGCACGTGTGTGGCAGGAACAGGCGGGTGGAGTATGGCCGTCCCGAGCACCTTTGCACATCTCTGCTTTCCTCCACTTTCCTCCCACTCTGGTCCTGGATCTGTCCCCCCTTTTCTCCCACCTTCCATTAGGCAGTTTGAACAGCTCCTTACTCCAGCGACACTCACCTGTTAGTGTTCTCCAGAACCTCTACCTTCTTCCGAAGCTCCAAGTTCTCAGTTGAACAAGACTCCACCCTACAGAGGAGCAAGAGAGAAGAAAATTAGTTGTATCACTTGAGCAAATGCGAAGCCAGGAGCTAGGGTGGAGGCAGGTGGGGTTTGGAGAAGGAGGACTGGGCATCAGCTACTCTAGGGAAATGAGGGAGAGAGCCTGGCCAGGCTGAATTGGGGAGAAAGGTAAGAAGACAAAAGAAAAAGAGAGAGAGAGAGAGAGAGAGAGAGAGAGAGAGAGAGAGAGAGAGAGAGATGAGTAACACGTGCCCCAGGACCAGAAAATGAATAGGGATGGTACAAAATGCAAAGTCCTTCCAGGGTGTTCCAACCTCGATTTCTTTCACCTCATCCCTATTGCTCTCAGTGCCCATCATTCATGTCCCCCATACTATGGGGGTCTGGATGCTGCTGGCTGTAGTCTTGGCCAGAAGGACTGATAGGAAGCCAAAGGGCTTGGGATAAACAATAGGGGAGGACAAAAACCCAGCACCTCAAGCCAAGGAATCCAGCTGCAGGAGCATGCAAGCCTCCAAGACCATTTCGACCCTGAAGCCTACAGAAGATAATGGAACGGAATGGGACTACTTCATGCTCAATTACCAAGACCTAAACTAGGATGTAGAGACACGAACTTTCAGTAGGAATGTCAACAACCAGCCAGGATCCACTCCTCTCCCCAGACACGTGGGAAGATTCATTTCTGGGTTGGGGGCCTCATTTCCATCTTAAATGATACTCGTTGGCCAGCCAGAGAACGATATTCTAAGGCAAAGACAAAATTGCATTTCATTCATGTTTTTCTACTAGCCCTCCGGATATTTTGGACTATTCAGAACAAAAGGTGCCTTCGAGTGTTTTTGTGGGAAGTTGCTAGGCTGCATCATGAATTATAGTAGACGGAATGTACCACCAGTCGGCACCAGCCCGACTCACTGTACTGCGAGCGCTCCTTCTCTAGGGTGTGAGGGATTAATTAGCACTGCTCCCTTTGGCTGAAACAGTGCCTCTCCTCTGAGCAGAGTTCCAGGAACAGGAACGACTGTTACTATTTGCACTTGTTTGAAAGGAAGCCTTTGAGGACTTACTCTGGTTAGAAATGGTGTGGTACCAACGCCTGCTAAGATAGAGTGTATTTTTTACTTAAGGACATACTTATAAGGGCTCCCCTCTAAAAACCACTAGGTGGCAGGCAAAACATAGCTGATGAACCAACGGGCTTTAACGGTGGCCAGAATGAACTTCTACTTCTGGAAAACAGAAGCTTCGCTCACTCCCGTTTCCCTATGCAGACTCCCCAATAAACACACCCAGTCTCACAGAGGCCTTACTTTTTCTCCAAGCTGTCCATGTATTCTTTCTTCTTTCTCCTACTTTCCTGGGCAGAAATCTGAGAAAGAAGGGGAGGAGAAAGGATTAACTTCCTGCCATCTCCTAAGTCAGTTATGTGTACGTGGAAGAGAGGAGTCTGTTAGCACACAAATCACCAGGGTCCTGCTCATTTCTGTGGCCACTCTTCATTTAGATAACCTGCTGGCTCATCTGTGAGTCACCTCTTCTGACCTCCCTGGTTCCAACCAGCCTGTGTGGTCACTACTAGTTCACCAAACTGGGCCCCACGTGGGAAGCATGGCAGGCCTGAGTCAGAACAGAACACGTGGGTCACAAACCATCTGTGTGGTCTTAGATAAATGATTTCAACTCTGTGGGCCTCCGTTGGCTCAACTATAACTTATACACAGAGAGGGTTGGGCTTGGTCAGACATAAGCCCCCTACTGGTTCTGCACATGGACCAAAAGTGGTAACTGAACTCTTCTTTCTTTCTCTGCCTCCTGCCTTCTGGCCTGTCTGTGCCCTAGCCATGACCCTCGGCCTCACCAGTCCTGATTTGCAGTGTAGGGACCTAGGGCTAGGAGACTCCTGAATCCAGGTATACAACAATAGACTAGAGAATTTTTTTTTAAATCAAAAACCTAGTAAAGAAAAAAATTAAACACCCATAATGCATTTATATTTATTTATAAATTATGTACATGCCCACTAGAAGGAAATACTGTGTACATCATAAAACAGAAACTTAAAAGGCTGAGATAAAAAAAATTAATGGGAGTTCTAATGTTTTCCTGTCAGCGCTGAATGGATCCCCTTGGGCACCAAGGAGCATGCACCCCCAGTTTGGGATCCACTGACCCAGAGGATGGGCAGAGGGACTGGAAGAACACAGTCACCACTGAGGGGAAGGGCAAGGCTGAGCCTTGTCCCCCTACCCCCCCGCCATGAGATGGGCCAGTGTTGGCCACTGGGAAGAGGGGGAGTGGGGGCACGCAGACTTAATTCTGGCCATGGTCTCTGTTCATAGAACCAACTAGATTTGAAGGGCTCACCTTGTTCTTGATTTTCCTCCGAATTTTCTTCAGAGCCTTCTCCTCTGATTTTGTTAGAGGCAATTTGGTGGGGATGGGATAGCCCTCGGCGATCAGGGTCCTCTTCTCCTCTTCTGTCAGGACCAGTGGGCCTGATCCTTGAAGTTTCTGTGCAGATCAAGGGGCAGAAAAAGGGTCAAAGCAGAACAACTGGGCATATTCAAGAAACTTGCCAACGTCTGAGAGAAAAGGATGCTCGTCTGCTTCTGGTGAGAGATGAGTAGTTTGAAGGGGAAACAAAGACAAAGAACACACTCTCACGTGAAGGTTACAACCCAAGGATTATCATTCAAAGGAAAGGGTGAAGAAACCTCCACCCATCAGTTCCCAGAAGGTACCCCACTGGCTAAAACATCAAAAGTAACATTACAGGATTCATTTCCCACATCTCTTGAGATTTCATGGCCTTGGAGTGATGGCGGATTCACTTGGAGCTCTGTTGATGAAAGAGTTTCCTTGTTCTACGAAAACACAATTTTGCAAGATGCTCTCCACACACCAGGGGTCACTTCTTGTCCCCCACTGACAGCTAAGGGGCCTGGGCTCCCAGAAATACACCTACAGGCACATCCAATGGAAGTCTCTGGCTTGCAACAGTCCCAGATGGTCCATCATCAGTGAAGAAGAGGACTGTAGCTCATCTCATTCAGGCCATAATAGAATGATGTGTTTATACATAGTCAAAGAAGCTGAGCGCTGACTACATTTGAGCCCCACAGTAAATGTCACGGAACACTCAAGACAAACTGCATCTCTCGAGTCATAGCTTGTGATCAAGATTGAGACTGAATTAATACACATGAAAGGCTGAGGGCAATTAAATGCTACACTGTAATATCAACTCAAGGTGCATTCACAATCTGGGGAAAGAGACACATGAGTGTGTGTGATAAGGAAAGGCTTAGGGTAGGAGAGGACACTTGCATTGGGCCTTTTGAAAGGAAGGGGATGATTCCCATAGAGAGGAGGGCATTCCAAGCCAAAGGCCGTATTCTGAAAAGCACTTGAAGATGCTACTCTGTCTAGAATGGATAAGTTCTTGAAATAGGGAAGGGTCAAGGTGCCTAGTACTGAGTAGAGGTATTCAGATTTGATACCTAGAGCTAATTGAGAAACACAAAGAACACACTATGGGGATGTGACATTGGGAGGATTTCCTAACATGGCCACAGATCCAGAACTCTGGGACACACTGACTTTAAATCGTCCAAATTATATTAATTGACAGATGGTTCTTATAGAATTTTTAAATATCTCATTCAAATTTTCTCTGTGTGATATAAATTCAGTAAGGTTGATAATAATTTTATGATTTTTCAAATTTCACAGAAATCAATGAACTCTTCAGAACAGTAAAATGTTAATTATCTGTCCCTATTTTTATTTGGAAAAAGGTGCCCTTAAGGATGACTCATGCTCTAACTTGAGTTTCTGCATTGGGAGTCGTACCACAGGAAAAAAGGGTTAAACTATATTCTTGAGCTTTCAAAAACAAAACAGTTAATCTCCAAGTTTTGAGTTCATCAAAGATTGTTTATTTGAAAAACAAGTTATTTCCTATTTTAGGCCATAGGATCATCTAAACTGATGGTAAGTATTTGGGACATGATTTTGAGGAGGAAGGCAACACAACATTTTTACCCCTCATGTTTCTGGCTGTGTAAAATAGAACATACAAGTAGTAACCGGAATGTGCACAGGAAAAGGAAGAAGACTGTGTTAAACCTGGTGAGGTTATAGGCAGGTCTTAAAATAATGTTCTTTAAGATGGCTAGCACCCTGTTTTAGCAATTAAACCTAAGACCTCCTTACAAGAACAAAAGTCAAGTGGCCCTGAAGGGCACCCACTCCTAGTGAAGCTCCAAGTAACCCAAGGGAAAGGGTTCAAGCCCCGAGCTGCCCTCAGAATACTCACGTGAGGCGCTGTGAGGAGAGGAGAGCTGGACAGGGCCGAGGGGGCCCGGGCCACGGCTCTGGCGGGGCTGTGGGTCTGAGGCAGGCCGAAGGGGTGCAGGCGCGGGTTGGGGCTCAGGCTGCCCTCTGAGTCACTGCTGTGGCTGCTGGGAGGGGTGGGAGGTAAGTGCAAGTGTTCCACGGAGGCTGAGGGAAAGAAAGCGGATTTCATCCATCAGACAGCAACGAAGCGGGACTCAGGGGCAGTTAAACAGCTGGACGTCCACACGGCCGAACTCAGGTCAGCCGAACAAAGGGATGAAGATTCTGCATGTGCTGATTTGGAAAGATCTCTGACAGATATTGTTGGGGGAGGGGGGCATCAAGGTACAGAACCGTGTATAAAGTAGCCCTCCTCTTGTAGGAAAGAGGAGCGGAGGTGAATACAGACTCGTATTTGCTTGTCTCTGCATAAAGAAATACTGGGAAATATATAAGAAATTAATAAAATTGGGCTGCCTGGGTGGCTCAGTCATTGGGCGTCTGCCTTCGGCTCAGGTCGTGATCCCGGGGCCCTGGGATCGAGCCCCACACCGGGCTCCCTGCTCAGTGGGAAGCCTGTTTCTCCCTCTCCCACTCCCCCGCTTGTGTTCCCTCTCTCGCTGTGTCTCCGTCTGTCAGATAAAAAAATGAAAAATAAATGAGTAAGTAAATAAATAAATAAAATCTTTAAAAAAAGAAAAAGACAAAACAAATTAATAAAATTATGACCTCTTGGGGGCGGGGGAAATTAGGGTAGACTGTGGTAGTGCCGGCATAACTTCTCATTGTATTCACTTCATATCATTTATATTGTTTGACTTGTAAACAACCATGTTAATGGATTAGGTACTTAAAAAAAAAATTGCAAAACTTGGGGCCCAAGAGCAATTCCAATGGCTACTTTGAGAAAAGCTCATTTGTTTCTGAAGGAATGTGCATGGTAGGGCCCGTAGGCAAGACACCAGACATTCTTCCTTCAGAAAATTCTAAATCCATCTGTAGATAGGTAGGCAGACACTAGAAAAGAAGTGTGTGTGTGTGTGTGTGTGTGTACATGTGCGCGTGGGCTTTGCTGCTCCCCAGTCCCCTGGCCTCCCCTCAGGGAGTCACAGACACGCCATCTGCTGGAAGCAGGGAGCCACAGTGGGTGTTACCAATCACACATCCCCAGAGCAGCAGGGATGGGCTCCAGTAGGGAGAATCCACTCTGAGCTCAACCTTTTTGACAAAAGAGCTCTCCATTTTCTGGCCTCCTTTCTATTCCCGCTAAGCCGAAATACCTTGAGCGCCAGCCACTGTTACTGAGCCAACGGGCATAACCTTGGGTGAGCTTTTCACCCCACACCCCCAAGAGGCCCCCAAGACAACTGAGCCCTTTAGCACGGAAGCTGCAGCTTGGCCGGAGGAGTGCTTGGGGCCACAGAAAGGCTTCGACCTCTTCTTTTCTCCTGTAACCAGAGACTGCCTGAGGTGGGAAGGGTCTTCTGAGGCATAACTGACCTAGCAGATCCCACCCAGAGCTGCCTTTGCAGGTGACAAGCAATGACCAGGTGGCTCTCTCTCTTGAAATGCCTGAATATCCGAGGTAACAAGTAATGTGCCTTCCAGCCACCCTCCCTGCTATTCACACCACACAGCTCTTTCTTCTCTTACTCTCTTCCTCTTTTTCTACCATAGTACCTTTCACTAGATGCTTCCCTTTTTCTCTGACAAAGTCTTGCCAAAGAGCTCCCTGGGTTTTTTAGAGTCTGTGGGTACTCCACAAGCTAACGAATATTCTAAAATAATCCTTGTATCTCTAGTGCCAACATCTCTGCCAACAGTTCTGGGGGCCTCAAATATGTGCCCCCCTAGAACGGAGTCCTGAGAGTGTTAACCAAGTAGCAAAGTAGCAAAGTCTCTCCATGAGCTCCCATTGGTGGAACATTCCTAACCCCTTCTGGTTCGGCACTGCCAATTTGAATACACTTTTGCTCAAATAAACTCCTAAAAATCTTAATATGCCTCAGTTTATCTTTTAACAATGGTGGGAAAAAAACAAAACAAAACAACCAAACCCAAGAGCAAAACCTATTAGGGGCTCCCGTTGTCTGCCACACTGTGCTGTTATATTCTGGAGAAGTAGCCAAGTGTACCTAGAGCTTACTTGTCCCTTTCACTCAGCACCGTCCAAATTATTCTAATACTTTTCTCCTTTCCAAGCAGAAGGTGCTCCACAAAAAAAACAGAAACGGCATGACAGAAGTGAGGGAAACTCGAATCCCCTCTTTCCTGCTTATTAAGAGCTACTGACCTCGCTCTTGGTGCTTCGGTATCAGATTTCTAAATATCATTTGAAATGCTAGTCTCAGATTACTTGAAAGGTCTGGGGACAATAAGCTACTTTGCCTAGAAGCTCCACTGCATACAAGGATATTGAATTTCCTCCTCTCTGTTTATCTAGGATAATGAAGGACTGCCTGCCACTTACTTTACTCTTGAAATGTTTCTCCTCCAGTGATCCATTCATTGTTACAGTTAGGACACTTTCTGAAGCATACTGCAACATAAACTAAAAGAGCAAGATGTATTTGATAGTGTTCATGAAAATGAAAGGAAATCCTTTAGAACAGTATGTAAGCTGAAAGGCACTAATGGATAACACTCGCTGGAAAGAAATATTGTCTCTATATGGATTCTAGTTGATATTGTTAATTTCAAAAATGTATTGTTTCTTACTGATAATAAAGGCAAATACCAACCCTGATTAATTTGTCACAGATAACATCCTGAGTTCGTTTCTAGTGGAATGAAGGAGGTTATGCTTTCATGAGAACTGCTCATTTGTAACACCCATACATTAAGCATACACCATAACACAGAGGCCTTTTCTATGACAAACGCATATACGAATTTCTTATTTGTTGACCACACTACTGAACTGTCCTTCTAACCTCATCCTGAAGACATAAATAAAAAGGAAGATGACAGCAGGCCTGAAGCCACAAAATTTAAAGCACAGGGGCCACGCAGGGGTATCTCAATTTAAGAAAAGGCAAAGAAAGCTTCCTTCGACTCTATGACACTTGGGGGGTCAGTTTTCAGGATTCCTACTTATGGGCTTCATCTGAGAACAAGAGGGAGAAATCAGAAAGAAACTGACACAGAGAAAGAAAAGGCGAAAAGTATGACAACTTTGAATATGACATTATTTTGTTCTAAATGGATGGCAAGATGCCCAGTGAGATGCATGAACTAATTTATAAATAGGGAAGAGGCTCCTTGTAACTATTGTTGCCTAAAATCAACATTTAAACACACTGAATGATCAGACAAATTGTGAATTCACTTTACAAAGGGCAAGGTGCTTTCGTGGATGTTTGTGTCTTGGCCTCTACTGCTCACCACAGCAGCACAGAGAATGGGGCTTGATTCACACGTTCACACCCAGAAAGACAACACTTGCCCCGTTCACCAGTACCCAAGTCATAGCTGACTATAAAGGTTGGGAAAGGTTTGGGAAAAAAAAAAAAAAAAAAACACCCCTGCTGGGAGTAAAAGTAAAATACAAGATTTAGCATAAAAGTCTTAAGCACATACACCTATTTAGATAAAAGATTTAAGCATATAACATAGATGGGAAGTTAAAATTTAGCTTTTGACATCTGTACTTAGAATCAAGGTTTTAAAGAGCTGAGCTATTTCAGAAAGCAGGTGATGCCTACAGTACAAATTAATCCCAGCACTTTCTCCCACGTTCCCTTTCTCCATGCATGAACATCTGGGAATGCTAAGGAAGGCAGGGAGAGTAGACAGACCTTCTTTAGGAGAGAAGTTGAGGAACTGATCCACTTCATGAGGCTCCAGCTTAATTTTAGGAATAACGGTCTGGCACAAGGAATCAACCTAGAGGGAGAATTTCAAACACAGTGTTTAAAAAAATAAAAATCAGCAAGAAAGGTCAGGGTCTTGGGCCTTGCTCCACTGGAGCAGCAAGGCCCAAGACCCTGACGTTTCTTAGTTACATACTAAAAAGTCAACTGGACTAACATCTCGCGGGGCAAGGAGACTAAGACACGCTCTAGGAGCCCAGTGCAATGAACAGATCCAGGCAGCGAACGAGAATGGCATTCTAGAGTGCAGCTGCAGAGGGGCTCTGTCCACAGTCCCCCATCTTTTCCAAGATGGACTGTAAAGAGCGCTAAGAACAAGTGTGCGCCAAAGCTTTGGCAGCTCTGCTGCTTCCGTGCGACCTCTTCCTAAACAGGTACAGGTAGATAGGACACCTTGCTCAGAGGATATCTGACTTAACATCAGTGGAGTCACTGTTTATAAACCTTTGGCTCCGAACTTCAGGAAACTCAGGTCTGGCTTCCAACATCTGGAAGAAAATGTCCACGTATGATACCTGGTCCATCACTGGACACTAGAAACACCCAGAGAGAAGGTGGGGTAGGCACGTAGGCATGGAATCGAACAAGGAAGAAATGCCCAATTTTGTATGTTTTCCATGTGTAATACAATAAAAGTTGGTAGGTGGGAGATCCCCGAATTGGGTCAGGGCAACTCCACACTGCACAAGGAAGGGAAAACATTACACAGGACCGACACTTCCATCAGCCCCGGCATACGAGCCAAGGATCAAATTATCATTTAATCCTTCTCTTTCCACTGGCCTAAAAATCAATCCCATGGGGACTTTGGGGTTTTTTTAACCACGGATATCCATCTATTTATCTTAATTTTATAACAGCAATCATTGGAAAAATGAAATCAGACTTGTTACCAGTTTTCTGAGCAATGCCTTTAAAGGAAGTGGTATAATCAATACTGATCCCAAATCAACATAACCTTGATATATACATACATACATATGCAATTACATATTTGGAAACATCTAGAGCCACTAGTTCCAAAAAAAGGTTAAATGCCTTATTGGAGAATGAGGATCCGTGTCTTTTGATCCAATGTATGTGTAGGGAAGAAAAGCAAGTATACCCCAGTATTCATTTCCAGGGGGGGTTCCTCCTTCTCAAAAGGGGTGGAGATGGCAGTGATGGTCAGAGTGACAGAGGGAACAAGTCCTGGGGGTGGCTCCTCTGTAATTGGCTCTGTCTTGATGGTTGTTGATGGAAAGTCTGTAGACAGGTACCATTTCTCACTTTCCACTTCATCTATGGGAAGAAGACAAGCACACGTATGAATCTGGTCAGGGGTATCAGACATAAGTAAAACAAATGACCACTGATCTTGCTCCTCAAAAACAGAGCTCCAACCAGGAGTTACTGAGCAAAGAATAAGAGGAAATAAAGTGAGGATGTGAGAGAGGAGATCAATGGATAAAGAAATGAATGGCCAAGTATGAATCCATACTTGTATTTGCTTTGAGTGTATGTATGCCTAAAGGAACCTCAAGGGTCCATGTAAAAGAAAGAAACCTGCCTTCCTGGTCAGAGCAGGAAAGAGACTGGGTGGACAGGCAACAGGACAGGAGGGAGAATCTCAATGTGTGATGCTTTACACTTTCTGGTTTTCAAACCAAGTGACTGTGTCATCTATTTAAAAATAAGTAAGTACACTTTTTAAAGATGTATTTATTTATTTGAGAAAGAGAGAGAGCGTGGCAAGGAGAGGGGCAGAGGGAGAAGGAGAGAGAATCCCAAGCAGACTCCCCGCTGAGCGCGGAGCCCAACATGGGGCTCGCTCTCACGACCCTGAGATCAGGACCTGAGCTGAAATCAAGAGTCGGATGCTTAACCAGGTGAGCCACCCAGGTGCCCCCAATAAGTACATTTAAAATTAAGAAACAAATGGTGTGTAACCAAAGTCTCGGGGGAGAGGACTGGGGACCATGGTGAGGTGGGCTCTATTCTTCTCCCAGTGGACAGTTTGTTGGTTTTCTTTTTTTTAGTTTCTTCTCACTCCCTGTTTTTGTCTTCGTTTCCCTATGACCCCACTTATGCCTTAAGCCTGACCTAGACCTCCAGAACTTTACTTAGCCCTCTGCGAAACTTCAGAGTTTGTAACAAACATGTGCCTTTACTGAAAGGAACCAAATATCTAGAGAAAAGAGCTGGATTTTGGCAAGTGTAGATCTTGGCTCGCTACTGGCTTTCATGATGATCACAGGCCTGGGGATCAGGACAAAGGAATAAGAACAGACAGAAGCACCTCTACACTTAATGCACATTCTTCTAGGAGCTTACATCCACCTGTTTCTTACCAAATTACTTCAGAGCTACTAGCCAAGCACAGCCCAAAAGGAGGGAGATGGGCAGGAAAAGAAAAGACAAGGAGATTGCAAACAGATGTAGAACAAGAAAAAAACAAGTCAGAAATTCCCCAAGTCAGCATTCCTTATCTGAAACCATGTTTACTAAAATGAAGTTAAAATAAAGCAAAAATACGTTCCTCACTTTATGAAAATGTTTAAACACACACACACACACACACACACGGTTAGTGAACCATTACTGTACAAAAGAGCAAAGTCGTTCCCATTAGGCAATGATTTTACACTCAAGAATTGGACTCAAGCTTACTTCAGGAAAGGTACATGAAGATCATTTAGAACTGCTAGAGATGGGGAAAGAGTGGGCATAGAAGCTAAAAACCAAAGTTCACAATTACTAAAATTGTGTTTCCTAAGCAACTTCCTTAAAACCCAAGAAAACATTAAATTCACATGTACAAAGGAAAATGATTTGCCCCCCCCCAAATCTAGTTTATAATTGACTTGATTCATTATCCCAGCCCCGATTTATTTCTTGAGGCAAAGTAAAGATGGGCAAGACTTCGGCTGGTTGAAGATGTTTTGCTTTTGGAACTTGTTCTATAAAGCTGCTGAGTGCTACGGTGTGATGGTAGAATTTCCATCATTTGCGGGGTGCACACCACATCCTGGCTGAGGGGGAGGGGGAGGAAACAAAGGGCCTTTTGATGGCGGCCAGAGGAGGGAGACCACACCATATTTGATACAGAATTCTGCTGGCTAGATGGGCACCCTGCTCAACTTAGAGAGGCAACTGGATGAAGAGCCAAGAGAAGATTCTAATGCCTCTCCCAAAATGAGCTTAAGAACTACAAAATTCTGTTACCAGCAAGGAAGACACACTCAGGACAGATCTGGGAAGAGCTGGAGAGACGGAGTACACAGATTACACTTTCTCTATTCAGCAATGACATATGGATGCCTTTGCTTTGTGAAGTCAACACTTACAGCCTGTCCACACTGAGCAGTATTTATCCCTGCCAGGGACTGGAAGAGAGATAGTAAGATGCAATACAGCCTCAGTATATATTAAAATTAACAGTAAGGAGGCATCGTTGAGAAAAGGTCACACCAGGAAATTGTGAGATGAGGCCAGATCCCCAGGCTGTGCACTTATATGACTACTGTAATGAAGCTTAATTCACAGGGGGAAAATAGAGGAAAAAATAAAAACAAAAAGCAATACAAAACTATAAGACAAAATGAAGACAGGTAATGCAATCAGTTCTTCCAGTGTAGCTAAGCAATCCTCAAACATAGGACAAGAGAGTTGATATTCTTAATGCTCAGTGTCCTACAAGCCTATTTTAAAATTATATATATAATCATTGCTATATCAGGAATGGAGACTGAAGGATGAACAATGAAACTTAAAACTACGAAGCAAAACCTCCTCTCTCAAAGACACTGAACTCTTCCAAGTAAGAAGTCCAAGGAAGTTGCCTCTCTTCCCGTGACTTTTGTTGAGGACAAAACACTGGTGTTGCCTTTATGCTTCCACTCCAATAAAGTAATTTACTACTCTAACTTGAGGATGATTTTTGAATCAGAAAGAAGTTGAAGGCCATCAAGCTCAAATACATCATTTTATAACAAGGAAATTGACACATAGATCCAGATCACACAGTGAAATTGTGGCAGACCCAGATCTCTGCACTTCCAACCAGTAGTCTTTCTGTCAAAGAAACAACTAAAAATGTAAATAAGGATTTGTGCACAGATATGCTTACTGCTGCATTATTTATAATCACAAAACACTGAAAATAACCAAAATAGTAGAGAACAAGGGCAAGGTGAACAAATTATGATGTATCCATATGTGGAACATTTATGCAGACAGTAATATTACACATACAAAGTCTTTTTAATAACAAGGCAAAGAAAGATTTATTATAGACTATTAAGAAAAAAATCGGGATATTAATTTATGTACTATTAATGAAGAAAGTGATAGAAAAAAGGCTGAAAGGAAGTATATCAAAATAGTAAAAATATCTCTGGAAAAGAATTCAGAACATGAATGACATTTTTTTTTTCTTTAGATTTTATATGATTTCTAAATTTCCTGTACTGGGATATACTGTCCCTGGATAATCGCACATGGACATGGCCTGCTTCTACCTGCTCTATTTTACAATGATTTATGATGGTAATTATTATTAGATAGAAGCCCCAGTGGCTCAAGGGGGGCCCATTCAGAGTCCCTTGACTCAACAAGAGTCAGTGAGTACTTTCGTGTTTATTATAAACTGCATAATTGGCTTCAGGTCTATAGTCACCCCTCTATCCATGTCCATTGCCATGCAATTTTGCAGTGCCCTCCCACTGTGGACTAATCCCCACCTCGGACTGGCTACATGACTTGCTTTGGCCTAAGGAATGTTAGCTTCCTAACACAAGTAAAGTCTTAAAATGCACTTGCACAACTTGTACTTTCGACATCCTAATGAAAAGGATGTGCCAGGACAATCTACTGACCCCGGGAGAAGGAGGGCAGACATGTAAAACAGAGTTTGCCCCCCAAATGAGCCTGACCAAGATCAGTCAACTCCCAGCCTTAAACATGGGAGTGAATCTGGCTGAATCTAGGAAAATTACTCAACTGTCCTCCACCTGAAGCAGCCAACCTCCAGCCAAGGCACAGACATATGAACTATAACAACAAATGATTGTGGTTAAAGCTAGAGTCTTGGGGTGGTTTGTTACACAGCAATATTGCTGACTTATACAATCTAGCTGAATGTGTAAACAAGAAATTAAATCCATTACATCAGAACCCATTGCAACAAAACAGCCTCACCTTGCCATAATAATTCCTCTAAACCATCATTTGTGAACCATATCAATAAATTTATAGATCGACTGATTAGATCTACCAGTTACATCATAAAATAATTGACTGCACATGAACAAAGTCAGCCAGTACGAAGTTTGGTGAGAACAGCATTCCATTGGCAGTTGACATTAGAGAAAAGAGTTTTCATCCTAAACTACTAAGTGTTGGCTTGTGCTCTGTTCCTCACTGTAAATAAATATCAAATCAGAGAAAACAAAATGACAAATGTAACCTATGAGGCAGGGAGTTAACAAAGGGTAGAGTGAAAGGGAGTGAGCAGAACACGTATTACAATTTTCCATGTGACCTTATTTGTGTAGTTTTATTATTTGGGCAAAAAGATCAGTAGAGCCACCATGGCTTAGAACTGGAATTATGCTTAGATGTTTGAGTTATTGGCTAAACTACAAAAACAAAAGTCAATACACTCTACCCTCTCTAGTTTCTAAAACCTGAAGCTCAGATATTGAGTGAAAAAAAAAGGTTTTTTTTTCCTAAATTGTGTTTACCTGCCTTTTAAGTTTCACTTCAGAAGGAAAACATCACCCAATAAGGTCAGTAGTGCATACCTCGGGGAAGAAGAACAACCCCCATATCATCTGATTTTATTTATAAACAGCTTCCCGTCAAAGGTCAAACTCAACTGGCACATTTCCTCAGCATCACCACTTAGCTATCAGCAAGGAAATAAAAACAAGCCCCTGTCTCCTGGTGGTGAGCAAGTCCTTCCCATCCAAGGACAAAATGGAGCTGCTGTGAGAAATAAGGCTAGACTCTAAGACTACTCACACAGCAGGGTGCCCAGAGGGGCTAGAATTGAAACCAACGTGGAGGCAACAGCACAATGCACATCCTCAATCATTTCCATGTGTACTGCATAAGTAACTGCATTGAACAGATCCTGATTCCTCGGGAAGAGGGGAAAGAAAAAGGTTAAACTCTAAATTGGGATTAGGCAGTATCTTTACAAATATGATACATATATATATTTATATATACATATATATATTTATATATGTATATACACATACGTTTATACAGTGCGTGCGTATATATTCTTAAAAAGT